GGGGGCGGGCAGGGCGGGCGGGCGGCGCTCGGCCGCCCTCCAGCCATTGGGCGCGGGACCCAGACGTCCCCGGCGCCCAGCCCCCCTCTCCACGCCTCCCCGGCGCGCTTCGCTCTCGGGACCGCACTTACCGGGAACTCACCGCCCGCGGGCCGGGCTCCCGCGCTCGCAGGGCGCCGCAGGGACCCTCTGTCTGCTGCCGCCCCCGCGCCCGTCGGACGCGCATGGCCCGGCGCTGAGAAGGCGGGAGGAGGGCGCGCACCATCTCCCCAACCTATGACCGCCCCCAACCTGGGCCGCCCCTGCCGCAGCTTGGCCTCCCGGCGCGCCGGCCCCACAGTCTCTCTGGAGCGCCCTCTCGGCCCCCCGGCTGGATGCCGTGGGGAAGCGCCGTAGATGTGGGGGACCCCGAATCCCGGGTCAAAGGGCAGTTGGGTGCCCCCTTCTTCTGCGGGGCGTGGAGAGGGGGAGTGGCGGAAGTCAGCTGAACCCAGTTTTACAAGGACTCCAGGCCAGATCCTGATCAGCCTGGAACCTGGGGTGCGAAATTCCCTTTCTAACCCCCCGGGTGTGTGGGTGTGTGTGTACGGAGGGTGACCGAAGTCGGGAACACCAGCGACACTTTTTTTTAAACAAAACTTTATTGGTAATAGTTTTCAAATATGTTTACAACAGCACACTGTTCAAGAGGAAGTCGCGTCCTTCGCAGCACACAGGTTGAATCGCCCCCGCGCCCACCCGGGGCCCACCCCAGGCCTGAGAGCTCCTCCTAGTATGGGGAGAAGTTGTGAGGGGCAAAGAGGATGAATGGGGGGCTCCCCACTTTTCTATTAAGAGAAAAAAGCACAAAATGGGGAGAAGGGGTGACGGGCAGCTGACAGCTAAGCAGAGGAGCGCCCTGGATAGGGTGGGGATGGAGGCTATTGGGTGAATAGAACAGGCAGCCCCGCCCCAGCAACCCTGGCCTTGAACCGGGGCCACCAGGGGGAGAGAAGGGCTTTGCCTCCTTTTTCAGGGCTGCCTTCCCAACTGAGCTGAGAGGAGGCTGGGCATTAAAATCTAGCTGAGAATAAAATTAAGGAGTTTGGGGGGAGTGGTGCTGAGAGGAAAGACCCTGGGCTTGGGGCTCCCTCTCTTATCTTTTGGGGGGACAACTCCTCTTTGGCAGGGAGAGGGGCAGCTGCTTTGTCTGGGTCCCAAAGCCAAAGGATGAAGAAAGGTCTGTTGGGGCAGGAGGAGGTAGGGGTTTCCTAAAAGGGTTTGAGACCCTTTTAGGTTTGGCAGGGATCTGGGGGTGGGGGGCAGGGGAGATTAGCAGCTTCGGGGGAGATTGGAACCCCAGCTCCTTCCTTTACAAGTCAGTCTGCTTCCCAGCCTTGTTAAAATGGACTTGGGGTGGGGATGGGAGGTGGTTATAGGAAGGTGGGAGGGAGGCACTGGTGGAACTTAATTAAGTAAGTGTGTAAATAAGATTGTAGATTGTTTTTTAAAAAATTCTAGCAAGCAGCCCACTGCATGTGTCACTAAAACCTCTCCTTCCCAGGCAGGATTGCTCTGAAGGGAAGGTTGGCCATTCTTCATTGGTTCTTAGCAAGTGGTGCTGGTGGTTTGGTGGTGGTGGTGGTGGGGGCTGGAGTTAAATTTGGGCCCCTTTTTCCACACCCTGTCCCTGGATACACTAGCAAGACCTGGTCTAACTAGAACTGAGAAACTTGTTTAAAACAGGCAGAAGTGGGGTGGGGGACCGTGGGGGAGGAGGAAGGCAAAAGCAGT